GGCGCAACTCACGGTTGTCTTGCATTCCGCTTGATATCTTCCAGGCTCCCAGTGTCCAACGTTTGGGGAAAGTCCTAAACTTCAACGGGTTAATCTCTTTGCACATTGCAGCTGCACGGTTGTTGACAGAGGACATAAAAACATGAATCACAAATCAATAGAGGTAATGCACTTACATCATACAATTACAACATAAAATTACATCATACGATTACATCATACGATTACATCATACATTGCCATAAAGGAAGACTGTTGAGTGGCAGACTGCAAGAAATGTGTACGGAGCTATTCTTAAAGCCATCATATGGAAGAGAGCTGAGCGGCAAACGTGGTAATGATAACTTCGGCGTGGCAACTTCTCTTCAGGATAGCAGGCGTATGGGTTCCTGGGTGCCCGGAACCCCCTTTTTTCGCTCAAAATGCAGGATTTTGCTTCATTTTTTGAAATTTTTCCCGGGGGCCCCGGAAACCCCCCCCCCCCCCCCCCCGGAAGGGCGCCGGCGCACGCGCCTGGATCATAGTGCAGAGAATGTTGGAAATTTGGAAAAACGCAAAGAGAGGGAAAGAAGACGCTTGATAGAAGGAAGTGTCTACTTCATTGTGTGGATTTGCGTCTTTGCTTGCGAAGGTATAGATAGCGAAACTGTTCGTATTGGTAGATTTTTTGACCAGACGAGAACGCTTGCAGACACCAGTGCAGGCACTGCACCAGTCACACTACACACCAGCTAGAAGTTGCTCCTGACAAGCCTTGTTTGTTTGAAGAGGTGGCATCAACAAAATTATTACTATTTGTACTTACGGATATTGATGGCATACTTACTCTCTCTGCAACATGAAATCTGGAGATCATCGATGAAAATATGTCCCCAGCCACCGCCAGCTCTGGTGGCGAATGCCAACTGGACCTGGCATTCACAAAGGAGATAGAGAGGATTGGAAAAAGGACTTTATTGATCATCATTGTCAGTTCGGGCCCCGTGATACTCCCACATACGCTCCGATGATACCTCGGTTAGCCGGACCCCGAAGTTACAGCAGGGCCTGCTGGAGAGCCGGGTCAGCCGGGTCACGCGCCCGGCTGGGGAACTGCACGACCTGGCTGAACAGATAACACCGGGTCCAGTCTGACCCGGCTGAAAAATTCTCAAACTGACAATGGATTCCTAAAATACCGGTATTTTACGACTCGCGGACCCCATCGGTTGCAAATCTAGCGCAACCGTACACACTACAGTCTACAAGCGATTGAAACTCGGCTTGTGTCAACTGGGGTCAACTGGTTTGAGCGCGATCTGGCCAGCGGCGAGCAGGAAGTCAGGACATTGAAAGTCGATGGGGCAGACAGTCAAAAGCGTAACTTTGGCTATAGCTTTTGACACAGTTGCAAGTTTTGAGCAGGCTTTTTGGTTGTTTTTCTGCCGGATGATCTGACCCGGCTGGCCTGCATGCGCCAGGTTCACTCTGACCGGGCTGTGTTGAATGTCTAGAGCAGGCCCTGGTTACAGGCATTTCGAACTGCCGGGCAATCTTTGGGGAGAGCTTCAGTGGAAATATTACTACCTTTTTGTCTTTTTGCGTGGAAATAGTGATGTCACATGCCATATCTATGGCCTTTCTCCATCAACATGTGTGTGATTCGGAGTTACAGACATTTCAAAGTTATGGGCAGCAGGTCATTACAGGCTTAATGGTCACGGATTTACCATGGTTGGGGACGTGGAGGAGGCTATGGTGGGGAGGGGGGGGGGGGGGCGGGGAGCAGGTCACTACAGGCTTAATGGTCACGGATTTACCATGGTTGGGGACGGGGAGGGGGCTATGGTGGGGAGGGGCGGGGGGAGCAGGTCATTACAGGCTTATTGGTCATGGATTTACCATGGTTGGGGACGGGGAGGGGGCTATGGTGGGGAGGGGCGGGGTGGGGGGGGGGGAGGGGAGCAGGTCATTACAGGCTTAATGGTCACGGATTTACCATGGCTGGGGACGGGGAGGGGCAGGGTGGGGGTGGGGTGGGGAGCAGGTCATTACAGGCTTAATGGTCACGGATTTACCATGGTTGGGGACGGGGAGGGGCTATGGTGGGGAGGGGCGGGGTGGGGGGGGGGGGGAGGGGAGCAGGTCATTACAGGCTTAATGGTCACGGATTTACCATGGCTGGGGACGGGGAGGGGCGGGGTGGGGGTGGGGTGGGGAGCAGGTCATTACAGGCTTAATGGTCACGGATTTACCATGGTTGGGGACGGGGAGGGGGCTATGGTGGGGAGGGGGGCAGGTGATCACAGGCTTAATGGTCACGGATTTACCATGGCTGGGGACGGGGAGGAGCTATGGTGGGGAGGGGCGGGGTGGGGATGGGGTGGGGGAGCAGGTCATTACAGGCTTAATGGTCACGGATTTACCATGGCTGGGGACGGGGAGGAGCTATGGTGGGGAGGGGCGGGGTGAGGATGGGGTGGGGGAGCAGGTCATTACAGGCTTAATGGTCATGGCCCTACCTGTACAGTCTCGTTGATGGCTCTGAGGGTGAGTGAGGCAGCCTGAACACTCTGCCAACTGTTCGCCGTGCCGTTAGCAGACAACCTGAACAGCGTTCGGTTGCGTCGCGCGCCAATTGCGTACACGGAGAGTGCACCGTCCACAAGCTTCGATGCCGCTACGCTGAACGTGATGTTGCAGGTCCCGCGCCGGAATATCTGAGGTGCAGAGGGAGGTGTCAGAGGCAAAACATTGGGGTATATGCATAATACTCCCGCCATTTGATCTTGAGGGGCAAGTCCACTGAAACGGTACACACTGTAATACTAGTCCAAGGTCATAAACCTTTTACGAACATACCCACAAATGCCGTACTGTAAAGGCCATATTATAACAAAGTGCTAACTCTAACGAGTTACAGGAACAGTGGATTAAATACAGTAAGAAGGTAGTAAAACAGCGCAAAAAAAAAAGAAAAAAAAGAAAAGAAAGAAAGAAAGAAGATAGCTAAAGTAAACAGCGAAAATTGCAATAACGAGTTAACGAGGAGAAATCTGTCATTAAAATAGAAATCGTTATACAGAAATCGATACTTATACTGTCCTATTGAGCGTTAGGAATGAGTGAGAATCGTTAGCTTTGGTACCCGTAAACTAGTCAATTTTGGGTAGGGGTGAAACAATTATACCGAGTACTCGAGTACTCGCTCGGTTTTTTCAAAAATAATCCTAATCGGAATAAATCAGAGTACTCGTTCATACATGGTGCATGCATTTATCACAGAAATCTGCAGTTTCAGAGCAGCAGTCGGCAGATATTGAGGTGCAGACTGTGTGTTGAACATTTGTTCACGAGTAGAGAGAGCCCAAATGACCCACGAACCGATATACCCAAGAAAAATGACTGCTACTCGGTTCAATCAGGGTTGTATCATGTGATTTTAAGGCCCTTGGTGTGCAATTTTTAGGGGATGAAGAACACTCAAATACTCGAATTTTCGATCGGAGAAAATCAGAGTACTCGAACTCGGGATCTCAGTGCCAACTTTCACCCCTAATTTTGGGAAATCGTTATAATATGCGCCTCGTTAGAATAATGGCTTTTACAGTACTACAACTGCCTGCACCTGCCCAATATGGGACAAGTCGCCCCTCGGGAAGGTGGTGACCATGTTTTATGCACAAACCCAAGAGTACATGAAAACCAGAGTGTGAAGCTCGGATGGGTGGCTGTCACGGCGGAATTCCGTGATTACATCATTTTAGTGATGTAGTGCGTACAAGCAGGATTCAAGCAGGTCTCTTTCTAGCTAATTCTGCACAACTGCAGCTCAGTTGTACGCACTTCGCCATTTCCCGCCTCAGATCTGCGCCAAATATGATGTAATCACGGAATTCCGCCGTGACAGACACCCATAGCAGAAAAGGCCCCAAGCTGCACACTCTGGTTTTCATGTACTCTTGATAAACCCCATTGTATTTGATGAACTTCATGACATTTTACGCAGGCACAGAGACTCCAATCTGGAGCACCATGACAACCAGGACCAAGGCAGAGGCATAGCCCGTATGCACGAGGGGCACGTGCACCCCCTCCCCCACCCCCCCCCCTCCCCCCCCCCTATGTTCACCATGCACATACTAGGGAGGTTTCGCTCTACGGAATTACGTATGAAAATAACGTATGAACTGCACGGAAATTTCATACGTAAAAATCAAAGCTGTTGGGTTTCGCGGCTCTACGTGATTTCTCCACGACTGCTCAACATGCGTTGTTGCTTTGGAGACGCGTTGGCTGCATGGGCCCACTGCATGCAACATGAACCGAAACCGCGTTTTCCATGATATTTTGCACGTGGTGTACGGTGTGTGTACCTTGTGTTTCGCGCGGCTTGAATGTTGCCATGGACAAATGCGGAAAATGGGAAAAAAATATTTCAAAAAGTCCTACGGAGGACCAAACGCAGGAAAGAGCTTTCCTACGGAGGACCCAACGCAGGAAAGAGCTTTCCTACGGAAATCCGTAGAGAGATTTACGTTTGAAAGTTGCCCTCGCTCCCCGGCGCGTACGACATACGGATTTTCATACGTAATTACGTAGAGCGAAACCTCCCTAATGACCATGAATGACATGCACCAGTCATCCTTACACATATGGGGCCATGTTTCACTCTACCTGCCAGAGGTGAAAGACAATTAAATTTTGCAAGTAAACACACACGTATGGTGGGCAGGGTCCGGCGGATTCTGCCGGCAGAGATATTGGCAGAATTCGGTACTTTTTCTGGTAAGTTTCATGCATGTTTGGTATGTGGATAAAGAAATGGAGCAGAATTCGAGGAACTGCCCGCCATAAGGTTTGTATGGTTCTGCCAACTTCACTGCTTTTCGAGCAGAATCTGCCACCTTTTCGAGCATTATCCGCCAATGGGTCACGCACTTCTATGGTGTGGTGACCATGTACTGGAACACATCATTGTACATATTCAGTGGAGGATTTCCCAACAACAATAGTCTACATTGAAAGGAGTTCCATTATAATGGGAGCCTGTAGGGTGGCGATGGCAAACATCGGTGGAGTGTTGGGCATGTACTGAGGGCACTTCTGTGGTGTGTTGAGCATGTACTGAGGGCACTTCTGTGGTGTGTTGAGCATGTACTGAAGCACTTTTGTGGTGTGTGGAGAACATGTACTGAAGCACTTCTGTGATGTGTTGAGCATGTACTGAGGGCACTTCTGTGGTGTGTTGGGCATGTACTGAAGCACTTCTGTGGTGTGTTGAGCATGTACTGAGGCACTTCTGTTGTGTGTTGAGCATGTACTGAGGCGTCAGGCGAAATAGCACGTCATAGTACATTTGAGATCAGCGGGAAGAAGATGACGACGTCCACTAATTTAGTATCAGTGCACACGAATCTGCTGTGTGTGTGACTCTGTGTGTCAGCTATGATATCATCTTCTGTGGTTCCATGCCTAGCATGTACGTCTGAACCATCCTGCGAAGTTTGAATGACGTAGGTTGAGCGATCGCTCCGCGAAACATACTTTTTGAAATTCTCTCCATAGTATATCTTCCACCATTGAAATTTCGAATTTCTTCAAAAAAGTGCTGAGAGGGGTGGCTTGCAACCTCGATATGGCTTGTTCCAGGCATGCTTTGGAGCCATCTTCTGTTGAAGTAGTGGCGGGGATCGGCCCTGCAACTGCTACAACAAAAAATGATTCGATCTGAGAAAGGGTGAGACCGCGAATCTCAGTTGAATATTGAGTATTTCAAGCCTTTTCACGACGAAGATGGAGTTCTTTTTGGAGATGGACGTCGCGGCAAAGGACATGGTGTCCGACTTCTGGCGTCTGGTGAAGCCAGGGATCATTTGTCCAGTCAGGTCGGCAGCCTAAGGGCGCGTTCAGACTACCGATAAAAAGTGACCGATTGGGAAAGTCGCCGAGGTGATTTGATCACGTGACGTTACTGGCACGTTACCGGTGGGAAAGTTTTACTGCCGCGGCTGCTGCGGCAGTAAACTTTTACCGGCAGTAAAAAAGTGCTCAGGCTGCATGCGCGCTGCGAAAAAAAGGGAAAATCCCTTGTCAGTGCCGCGGTGAGAGCTGAAAACTTCACGGTAACGTTAGTTTGTTATCGGTAGTGTGAATGTCCTTCACGGTTTATCGGCATTCACGGTTTGACGGGGTTCACGGTAGTCTGAACGCGCCCTTACCGTCGGTAAGCTTGTGTTTGGATCCCGTTCTGCTCGATGTGGTAGATCACAAACAATTTGATATCGCACAAATTGATCTCAGCATCGTGCGTACGGTATTTTATATTCAGAAAATCCTAAAGTGTCTCTGTGTGGCCGTCCTATGCCACGAGAAACTCCAATCAGGCTCCTATGTCCTCTGCCTTCATGATTGAATGTCCACTTCGTTTGAACAACGAACACAACAATCGAGGACGGCTTTGCAATGAAAAATACAGCTATACTGGAGCTGAAAAAAAGAAGAAAAAAACGTGCTCAGGATGAGTCTCGAGTACACGCATACTCTCCCAGCAGGTGAAAAGCAAATTTTTGTGAAAAATGCGTGTCGCCGAGTGACCAGTAATTTCGCCTGACGGCACTTCTGTGGTGTGTTGAGCATGTACTGAGGGCACTTCTGTGGTGTGTTGAGCATGTACTGAAGCACTTCTGTGGTGTGTTGAGCATGTACTGAGGGCACTTCTGTGGTGTGTTGGGCATGTACTGAAGCACTTCTGTGGTGTGTTGAGCATGTACTGAGGCACTTCTGTTGTGTGTTGAGCATGTACTGAGGGCACTTCTGTGGTGTGTTGAGCATGTACTGAGGGCACTTCTGTGGTGTGTTGAGCATGTACTGAGGGCACTTCTGTGGTGTGTTGAGCATGTACTGAAGCACTTCTGTGGTGTGGAGACCTTGTGTGACCTCTTATTACTGTACAAGTACAAAGTTTCGTTTGGAATTAACTTTCGCTATCGGTATTTGTTAGGGGCACGGAATAACTAAAGTTTGTACCAAACTAAAGTTTTTTTTCTGAACGTTCATGGTGACATACCTCGACCGAAAACGAAATTTAGTACGTAACAAGCCTGCTGGTGGAGTGGTCTAACGAAAGATTTCGTGAACGAAAACTTGTTCTTATACGGCAACCATTTTACCTATTTCCGCTATGCGCCGGCAGTGCCCATACCAGCCATCTGCAGGTTTTGCTGACTACACTGGCTACGGAAAAACCGGAAACTTTCGGTGGAGATTTATTTTCAGTAACTTCAGTACAGGTGATATTACCGAAATAGAACGCGACCTAAATTCAATCGGGCCATGCAACACAATGTGCTAAATGCACTATTGGATCTGGAAAACTGGCTTACTGATAAATTGTCTAGCCACCGAACCGTTGTTTTGGGGGAAATACCAAAGAATATTACACCACCTAAAATTCGCCTACGGCCCTCACGCTGACCTGTAAGGTACTAGCAAGACGTAAGGCCCTCCCTGTGTGTGGGG